TGTGCATGCTGTCTGTCTGTCAGGGGTGACCATACACCATACTAGAGGCAACACACACTGTACAAGCCTCACTTTTATTGTCATCTTTTATCCTTAAGTTCAGACTACATTGGATTTATTGGCAATAGGTCTTGCCAGTGAATGGCACTTTCATTTTTGTTTTGCATACTTTATTACATGGAATAAGCTATATCAATACAATATCTAAAGCTATATCCAAATGTTTTCCATCTCTTAATTTTGTCCACCTGTACATATATACAGATGGATGACAAAATAATACGAACACCTGTCAAAAAGTGTGACTTATTTCACACCTGCAGCACAGCCCCCCCACCTGCAACAGAAGTCTGCCACCTAGTGAACGCGAAGAGGAAGCTATCAGTCTCCCAACATTAGTCACCTGTGTTGCATGAGTTTATCTAACTAGCTTTTATAAGGTGAAATGTCTGACCTGTCAGAATTCCAAAGAGGGATGATTGTCGGGGCGTGTTTAAGTGGAGCATCGGTGACAGAAACAGCAAACCTTTTAGGGTTTGCAAGAAGTGCTGTATCAGCCGTTATGACAGCATACATGAAAGAAGGTAAGACGAAGTCGTCAAAGCAAAATAGTGGCCGAAAGTCAAAGCTTGATGATAAGGATAGACGTGTCTTGCAGCGCATAGTAGCACGAAAACACAAGCAATTGTTATCCCAGATAACATCAGACATGAAAAGTCATCTTCAGGACCCCGTTTCAACAAGAACTGTTCAAAGAGAACTTCATGCAGCGAACATTTATGGAGAGTGGCAATTCGTAAACCCTTGGTGACACCAACCAATACTTTCAAGCACCGTCATTGGTGTAGAGGTCACAAAGGCTGGTCCCCACAGCAGTGACAGCAGGTAATATGGTCCAATGAATAAATCTTCACCTTATTTCAGACTACCGGACGCATTTATGTCTGGAGATCACCCAAAGAAGCGTTTGATTCTGAATGCCTCTTACCAACTGTGAAACATGGAGGTGGCTCCATTATGGTTTGGGGTGCGATATCTTGGCGTGGCCTTGGGCCACTAGTACGTCTGCATGGGACAATCAAATCTAATGACTATCTAAGCGTTCTAGCGGATCATGTTCATCCTTTTGTACAGACTCTATTCCCTGGAGAGTGACTGATTTTTCAAGACGACAATGCCCCTATCCACACCGCTAGGTGCGTTCAAACATGGTTCGAAGAGCATAACAATGAAGTTGAGCATCTCGCCTGGCCCCCTCAGTCTTCGGATTTAAATATTATTGAACATTTGTGGTAATATTCGGAGACTAAACTTCGTTACCGATTCCCACCTCCATCAAATCTTTTGGAATTAGAGGTCGCTTTGCAAGAGAAATGGCTTAATATTCCTTTAAATGTTGTCCATGACCTTTATGCATCGATCCCACATCGTATTAAATCTGTAATTCAGTCAAAGGGTGGTCCAACTCCCTATTAATAAAGATTTTCTCATATTTCAGAGGTGTTCATATTATTTTTCGGAGACTAAACTTCGTTCCCGATTCCCACCTTCATCAAATCTTTTGGAATTAGAGGCCGCTTTGCAAGAGAAAGGGCTTAATATTCCTTTAAACATTGTCCATGACCTTTATGCATCGATCCCACATCGTATTAAATCTGTAATTCAGTCAAAGGGTGGTCCANTGAAGAATTGTTTATTTTGATTGTTAAAAAGTGTCCGGGAAATCGACCCTTCCGGAAAAGGGGCGTCCGGATATGGGACGTTACACTGTATAATAAATGTTAAGTCAAATAATAAATATTTATTTTCAGTAATATTCCTTTCGCTAAAAATATGTTTTGATTACTGCGTTAAGTATATTTGGTTCCACTTTAACCCAAGAGGAATAAAAAAGTCTGCATAACTGCATTCATAGTCAATGTAAAAAATCAAAATGCTTTTGTTTCATCTTCATGTGTTCACTTTTTTAGCAGACATTTATAAATTATATGCATTTAATGTAGAAAAACTTTCAATGAGTATTTTTAAACAAAATTTTTGTAATTTATGACATTCATATACAACTCCATATGCATTTACTATTTAAAATTACAAAATAACTAAGACCTATTTTTCAAGGTGCACTGTTATATTTTTTACTACTTCCAATTCTGTCACGTTAGGGTCAAAAAGATTACAGCGAAATCAAACAATAACTGCATTCTATGAGTACACTGCAAATATTTATTTCAAATATAAATTTCCTTCTCCTCCATGCTTCAAGTGTCTATCCTACATGGTATCTATATCTTACATGGTTTTTATATCTGTTATTAAACAATAACAGGGTTGCCACAGAAAAAAATGAACAAAATAGTTGCTTTTAGTAGCCTAAAACATGAAAATAGTTGCTTAAATAAGAACAAAAATGAATCAAAAATTTGACTAAAATTTTGTTAATGACTTAGTTGTCATATACCATGTATATATATATATATATATTTATATGAAAAGTGATTACTCAAATTCAAAATTTGCATATCGTAATATTGTATAAATTTGTTTTTTTTAAAAGCATGCAGAATTTCGTAGCAATAATCATTGAAAAGGCGATCGAGAAATGAAATAGACTTACAATGGTGTCTGTGCAAATTGAACGATCTAAAAAGTGAAGACTCGAATTTGCTAAATTTTATATTTTTTAAGAAAAAAAAAAGTTCAGTGTGTTCAGAAACTATCTTGTGGGGTGTTGCATTTCCACCCAATTTATGCTTTAAAAAAAAGAAAAGAAAGAAAAAATGTCGCTAGGAGTACAGAAAAGTCTCCCAATAGTGTCCTTTTCCTGAAAATAGTGGCTTTTTCAACCTTTTCAGGCAAAAAAAGTTGCAATATTCGCCTCGTGCCAAAAATAATTGCATTTTAGTGGCCTGTGGCAATCCTGCAATAAGTTTATAAAGGTTAATTTAGAAGTAAAATCATATATCTTAATTTTTTTTAAAAAGAATTTGGGGAATTCGTTTTATCCCAGAATAGAAAACATTATTTCAACTAAATAAATTCAATAATTTTTCAGATTTACTAACATTGTGAAAAATACTTTGAGGAAAAAAAAAACATTATTTATCAAAGAAAAAAAAAGTCTGCTTTTTACATAACTTTTTTTCCAAGATGCTTATTTAACTTGACAGCAAGTGTTCAGGATATCAAACAATAAGAAAATAAAAATATATAGTCTGCTTAAGGAAAGAACAGAATGTGCAATGTCAGAGGAATTTATGAACCATTTTTATTACATTAAAAGAATAATTTAATGCAAATAAACAATGCAAAATCATATTAAAGCGCTTCTTACCATCACTCTTCACAAGTTTATGTCCCCAACTTAAAGCTTCAAATTCAACATTTTTCATTATAAGTTCCAATATAGCATCACGGCCAGTTGCAGACATTACTCTACTAGAAACACTTTTGCAGAGGGTCTTCATTATAGTATCAATAACTAATTCATTGTCTAAAATATATGATAAGATTATTAAACAGAGACTATCGAAAATACTATATTTAATAGGAAATAATCAAGTTGTGTTTGGTTAAAAAAAAAATAAAGTTAATCACAGCATTTAGTGGAAAATGCACTTATATGTTTATTACATGCTTTTCAATGTTATTAATTGAAAAACCATCATTGCTATCCTTCGGAAATTCGAGCGATGAGTAGCAGCAAAAATAAACTTAACTAGTTGAATTGGCAAGGATTTACAATTTATTTTACTTAAGAGTAATTTTAAATATCTTAAGAAAATAATAATTTCAATTATACATGCATTTTTTTAACGAATGAATTACATTACATCTTCCAGGCTTTTACTAATGAGGTACATTCTAAAATTCTTCCTAACTTATCAAAATTTCATTTACTTAGATTTTATTTCGCTTTTTATAAACTAGATTACATTACATTTTCAATCTCTTCAATCATTTGGTATTTAGTAGAATAGATTTTATGAAAACACATGAACATTTTTTTTGTTGCTTTATTTGTCATCAAAATTGAATAGAAGTATGTAATAATACTTCTTAGCAATAGTTTTTAATTATTAAAAATTAATGCCTATCAAAATATTTAAAAAATTCAATAAATTTTTTTTCTTGCTCTGATGATAGTCTTGAAATTTTTTTTAAAGCAAAATGAAAAATGCTTATCTTGCCGTGAATGCATACCTGATGAGGTTAACAACATACAGAAAACATATATTTATAGAAGTTTAATTTCTATTTTTTTTAACGTAACACATTTCATGAAAAAATGTACAATAATTCACTCTTCTTAAAATATTACAAAGAATTAACCTATTACAATTTACACTACATTAAATTAAAATACTATTTTTTATAATCTGCAACAAATAAAAAGTTAAAAAAATAACATTCTGCATTTAAATTTTACACAGTAAGAAAAAATTCTCTGTATATCCTTGTCATCACCTTTCATAAGTTGTTTATCAGCTTTTTTTCCTTCTTTGACATCCATGCCTGCTAGAGTGTTCAAAATAAGTTGAATGAAGTATTCAACAGCGTTAACATAGTTTTCTGAGTCAGAATTCAAATTCTCAATTAAAAATGGAACACCAATAATTTGAAGTATCTCTAGTGTCTATAAAATAAAATAAAATAAAAAGTTTAGCAAAATAATTATATACACAATTATAAGAGTGAGATATACCTCACATAATCTATTGAATAAACCAAAATAAAAAAAATCTTCCAAACCTCACATAAGCTTTTAAATAAACCAAAATAAAAAACTTCTCTACCTCACATAAGATTTTGAATAAATTAAAATTCTAAAAATATATTGCAATGCATTAAACATCCAGTGAAACTTTTTAAGCTAACTTTTGAATGACCAAAATTTCTTTTAATAACGTTCAATGAAATTAACGTTCATTATATGTCAGTGTATAGTATTATTATGAAACAACAGGCAATGTAATATTATTATGAAACAAAAGCTGTTAATTTTTATAAATGCATATATGAATAATTTTAAATTTAATTACTTATTTCATTTAACAGTTTAAGTAGTCATACCTTCCTCCTCTGTTAATTAATCATATTTCATGTTATATTCACTAAATAAAAATACAGTTACAGTCAATCCCTGATATAATAAACTCTGTTTATAATTTTGGATACCTTTTCTAACTTTACACATAGCATAGTCTGCTTCTTAGACTCCTTCATAATTGACAAGATAAGTAATAATTCGAATGATTTCAAGTTTTTGTCTCTCATTTTTTATAAAAATGGAAGTTTAAAAAAAAAATAATAATTATAACAAAGAAAGTTAAACTAAGCAGGAATTTTCTGCATCTTTTAAATTTAATTCAAGATAAGCAGATTAGTAGACTACAATGAAAAAAAATTTATCTAAAAAAACTGTATGGTACTAAAAAAAAAGCCTATCTCAAATGAAAAATAAAGACTTTTTTACATAACCATGATGAAAATATTGTAGAGCTACATATAATTTTTGAAAACAAACAAATATGAACATCAATATTAATATAAAAACTATATAAATTTAAAATGTTTTTAATTTAAATATCCTGAAATACAAACCCTTTTGCAATTGTTCCTACAAAGCTCACCAAAGGTTCTAATGACAGCAGTTGAAATCTCTTCATTTTTTTCAAGTTTCTTTGCAGCCAACAGCTTGGTAATGCCACTTTCTTTCATAATTAATTCACTACCAGCTTTTTCTTTGGCAAGCACAACAATATTATTTGCTGCCTAAAAAATAAAAAAGTTTAGATAAATATTGCTCGAAAAAAATTTAACTTATTACATTAACCTATAAAATATTGTTCAATTTTCTTTGTCTGTGTTACTTTACATTTTTAGCATTATGCTGAAAAAACTTTGATAATATTTCATATTTTATGTCACATAAAATATCTATATTTATATAATATAAATATGGATATTTTGTATAATAAATAAATTTAAAATATATTGTGATTTATTTGATTTGAAATATTTGAATAACATTATAAAATATATTGTTATTCAAATATTTACGTGATATTGTAAATATTTGAATATAAAATATCAAATATTTACAATATCACGATTTATATAATATAATAAATTTGATAATGCACTAAACCAGAAGCATTTGATCAGAAGTTTGCTAATAATAACAGTCTAAATTAATGCATTAATGCTTCTATCTCTACATTCCTCTGATTAACCAACCATTTATAAGCAAACTGTTGAAGAGCAATACCTTTAAATGCAGGAAATACAGAGCCACAAGCTTATAGCATGAAGCTAATTACACCCCCAATGCAATATTATCTTTTTCAATAAAACATGCTAAAGCAATATAAAAACTAAAAAAAAGAAAAAAAAATTATGTGGCTTACTGCATAATTGAATATGTTTATTACAATTAATGCAATAACAATGCACCAACTTAAACATACAGCTATACTGATAACACCAACCTTTTACTTGTAGAGAGAAGAAGAAAAATAGAAAACTCGGCTATATATAATAAGTATCAGACACAAGTATAAGAGAGAAACTACTTAATAAAAAATCAGTGTTAAGATATAAATCATTTTGAATAAAATTAGAGTTATTACAGTTCAAAAACTTTTTTATGTAAAAAATATCTTACAAATTAAAATTGTCCTAAAAAATGAAAGAAAATTATTCATATAACAAGATAGGTCATTAAGTATCGCTGTCAAGATAATTAAGTAGCATAAGTTTTGTGTCTCTCAACACAAAATCTGCCCAAAATGTGTATATGGTATAAATATACAGGAACAAATAAAAAAATTTAAAATCATATAACAGCTCAAGTTTGTAAAATATAAGATTAATTTTCATAAATATAAATAAAAGAAAATCTAAGTACTAAAAAATATTTTTCTGCAAACATTAAAATAAATATGTTTCCTAAATTACTGCAATAAGTAATGTCACTTATTATTCTAAGTAGGTTAGGAACTACGATTATCGCAAATGAATAGAAAGAAATTACAAATAAAAATTAGATAATATAGGGGAGAGTTGGATAAAACGGGATAGTCGGACAAAACGGGATATGTCGCCTAGGGACCAGACTATTGTAGCTATCTAGTGGACAACGACAGAAACGTGTTATTCGACCGTGATTATACCATTCTCGGTGTGTCCCGTCTCGAGATCACTATTTGATAGAAAGTTGTAGGTCTCAGAACTCTTTTATTCTATTTTCTTGCCATTTTCTACATTTACGTAAGTTGTTTTTTACATTGTACTGCCTATATATATGAGAATAAAATTCCGGTGAGTATTAAATTTGATTAACCATTTAATTACCAATATTTTTATGTGCAGTCTATCTTATTTTCTTTTCACATTTAGGCAATAGCCATGTTTGTTTCAAAAAGTATCGGAGTCGCACAAAACGGGACACTTATGAGTTGGATAAAACGGGATAGAGATTTTTATGTTTTATCCACCTATTTATTTGTTGGATTATTACCTTTTAGAATAGCCATACATTAATGTAGGCCTAGGCTTTTTGAACAGCTTATTTTTATTAGCTATATATATTTTTGAAAAATTTAGTCTCCTTATATTGTAATGCAAAATTTGTTTATTAACGTTCATTATGAAGCATTTTATTTTCGACTCTAGGATTTCACATCTTTCTTTAGAACTAATTGTAATGTATTTCTCTGATGAAGACTTGATCTTTTTTATATATAAACTTCTTAATTTTCTGGATTGCTCAATTCAATGTACATTCAATTCTAAAAAGAATTTTTCTCTTTGTTTACTGAAGAATTTAAATACTTGATTATTAAAGAGTCTTTCAGGGATCTTACGACATCAATGGAGTGAAATAGAAATAAAAGTGAATTAGAAATAGAAGAAAAGGAAAGGATTATTAAACTACAAAAAAAGAACCAAGAGAATTGAAGAAAAGGCTGCTAAGAAATCTCTATTAAAAGCACAAGGCACATCTCGACAACGAAAATTACTGAAATAAGCCTTCATGTTTGAAAACTTATAGTCTTTAGAAGCAAATGTAGCATCATATTTTTTGTGTACTTGCTTATAAAACAACAATCTATATAAAAGTGTTAGAACAGTAAAATCCCATGAAAATAATTTATAGAAATTTTGCTTTGCAGTTCTCTGTCAGTTAATTATGCTTTTCACTTAGTTTTATGCAAAAAATTAAACATTGTAAACCCTATCCCGTTTTATCCAACCCAGGTATGCTAAAACGGGATATGTAAGAGTTTGGAAATTAATTTTTTTTTCTATTTCACAGTCATTAAAATTAGTTTAAAATATGTTTTTTGTGTGCTTCAATAAATGCTATAGCTACAAAAAAAGTAATGTATGGTTTGCCTTAACAGATATTCCATAGTAAATAAAAGCAATAATGGTATCCCGTTTTGTCCAACTCTCCCCTATATGTATACAATGTTATTGTGAGCCCAACTCAAAAATCCTGAAAATTTCTTGAGTAAAATCATTAATGACGCGTTTCAAAAAATTAATGTTATAAATTTAAATCATTGATAGTTTCAAAACATGAAACCTAAATAAATTATGTGCAGCATAATTAAATAATTATGCACAAGTTTACTTTTATCTCTAATCACATTTATTATTCCACCAGAAAAAAAAATTTACAAATGAGAGATACCAAGTATAAATTCTAGTTCTAATATTCTTAAATAAAATATACAAGAATTTTTATACATAAATGTGATCGATGATTACTTGGAACTACTGAACCTTGGATTTCAAGAAACTTCCAGATCACGATTAGTGAAAAATCCGAATTTTTTCCAGAGCACAATCATCTATGATATATATATATATATATATATATGCGTGTGTGTGTGTGTTTAAATAAAGTTGAAAAATGCATGTACATCAATAGTTAATACAATTTAAAATATAGAAACTACGAAACTGGTTCTGATGGGATTTTTTAAACTTGCAATTACTATAACTATAATCTTGCAGTAATTTCAGCATTTAACTCAACTAAAGAAAATAAATAAATCCCATTAATTTCAACTAACAACTTTCTGAAATAGTTCTATTAATAATTTGCATTTTATGTATACATGAATCAGTAAAGATAAAATAACTTAGTAAATAACAATACTATGCAACAAAAGTCTTCTTACCTTTAATTTTAAATTTTTATTCATACAAACTCAATTATAATCTGTGTGAATTGATCATAGCAATTATTCTATTTATCTGTTTTTCAAATTTTTTTTAAAAAAGTTATGTATTCTTGAAAATCAATGTAAAAATTAAGCAACCAGAGTATTGCTCTTCTCATTTATTTGAACTAGTTTTACATACATATTTTGGTAGAGCACATTTCAGTGTGGCATTTTTAAATAAGTTATCAGTTCTATAATTTCTCTAAGCAGTCTCAATTCATTACCTAATGTGTCTTAATTAAAGGAAAATGCTATATTCCTATTCTGATTGTCATGGTAGAAGTTGCACTGCATAAAGAATGATTAAAAAATTTTCAGCTTCATTATTTATTTAAAGATATAAAATTTATTTCATAATATTAATTCAAATTACCTGTAACCTTGTTTCAGCTGATGTTTCTTCTCCTAGAAGATATTCAAACATAGTTTTTACTTTATTAGTAGTAGTAGCCTGTTCTTTAGCCTATATAAAATGAGAAAAAAAATTAATAACACAGCATAATGACAAAATTTTCAAAAGTTGACTAATTTTATTTACCAAATGAAAATTTAATATATATATATCTATAAATATATATATTAAAGCCCAAAAACTGAATTTGGATGCTGCATAAACATGATCATAAAGCCATTAAGTTTGTCCTACTTACTTGACAACTAAAAAGACAGTGAGTTGTTCAATATTTGAGTGTAATAAGATTAAAGGCGTAATAAAATTAATTGTTAAGAGATTCAAATATACTATGATGATTAGCTGTATGCTTCTGATAACTAAAAAAAAAATTCTTTAAAGTACCTGCAGTTTTATAAATACAAATAAATTATTGAGAAATCTTATATATTTGATTAAAAGATTTCCAGAAAACACTGCTGCCAACCTTTATGGAAAAAAAACTTGCTGCACTAGAGCACCAGAGGTAATTCTTATGAATGTTGAGATCATCACATTTATTGACAGACCCCTGTAAGATCTCTACAAATCAAATTAGAAAAATTGGCTGCATTTCAACCTTTCTAAAAACTTTGCTAGCAACAAAAAGTATCGCACTATAGTAGTTTCACTATTTGTAACACACTATTTCTAACCATTGAATAATGAAATAATAATATGCGATGATATCCTTTCAATGTTTCAGATAATGATGAGCAATCTGGATAAATAAAAAAATTAAAGCTAAATATGAAATAAAAAAAGTATGAGAAGATAAATCAAAAAGGTGTAAAAAATTCTAAATACAGTTGAATTTGCTTTTGAAAATATGTTTGAAATGATTAATTGTTGAAAGTGAATCTAATTATAAATTTTCTAATTTATAATTAGATCGAAACCACTAATAAATTACCAGTTCTTGAAGTTTTACATTCAATCTAGTCAATATTGGTTGAACAGCACTATTATTTGGATCTAAATGATTAACTGCTCTTGCATCTTTAAAAGCATCACTGTATTGTTCCTGTTTTTCATATGCTTGACATCTTCGAAATAGAGCTTTTACATCAGCAGGTGTAATTTCCAATGCTGTAAGAATAATAAAAATTAATGAAATGCTGTCGATTTCAAAATAAAATTGTATTTATTAAATTGTTTTTAAACCAGTTTGGTAAGGGAAGGTCCGAATTAAGAATGAAACAATTTGAAAAGCAATGGAGTAGCGTGAATAATTCCGCATGTTATCTGACTTAAAATCGTCTTTGAAAAGTAATACAGTCTGTTTGCCTTTAGCTACTTGAATGTGTCTGATTATAAAAGTAGATTTGAGATAAAGGTAAGAGCTTTATAGTGCTCATACAAGTGATTTTGAAAAAATAAATTTTGTAAGTTAATAATCAATTTATTAGAATGATGTAATGGAAATGAAATTAGTTAATAACCAAGTAAATGTTCAATTATTGACTAGAGTAATCATCTGAAAATATCATGGGCAACATAACTATAGAATTCTTCAATCAAAATAAAATTTGCTAAGAAAAAAAATTGACTTATTATTTTAAAATAAATTATAAACTGTTTCTGCAAAAATTTGCATTAAATGATGAAATATATCAAAATGCAAATTCTGAAAATTTCCAAGAATCTTTTTTTTCTTTTCAATCTGATACTTTGTTTTCTACACTATATATGTGTCAGAGAATTTAGTTATGCAACTGTTAAAACTGACACAATCAAAAACTTTACATCAGATAACAATTTGATTTCACTTTATTAACTTTACTATGTTACTTCATTAATTTAAAACAAAGGGAATATTTCCGTATTGGTACATTTTTATGTCAACTACCATCGCCAAGGCACCAAAAAGATGGGAATATTTTCATATCACGATCTGAAAGTGCTAAATGGATTTTAAACTTGAAAAAGTTTCTTTCTTTTTTTTAAAAAAAAAACATGTTGAGGTTTGCCATGGGGTAACTTAAGCTATACCCATTGAATTGACCCTGTCCAGAAGTTGCCAAGACTTGGCGGTTATTCTGATGCAGATCACAACGCAGAATTCTTCTCACTACAGCTAATGCTACATTAAAATAAATTAACAAATCTGGGTCAAGTACACATGGAATTGCAATAAAATTTAAACAAAATGTTAACTTTATGTTGGAAAAAGATCGCACATTTTATCGAAAACAAGAATTAAACTAAAAGTGTTTACAAACCTGAAGTACAGTCAATGATGGCATTTTCATATTTTTCTAGTTTCAAGTAAGCAGCAGCTCTATTTTTAAAAAGAGTTGCCTCATCAATTGATTTTACAGAGCAAAGTTTCAGGCCTTCGGTGTACAGTTTAACAGCACCCCTATAATCCCCAGAAGAAAATAGAGCATTGCCTTCATTCTTTATTTCAGTGAAATCTTTTTCCACATCTTTCGAAGACTCCGTAGAAATCATCGCTTTCTCCGTTAGTTGAATTGTATCAGGCATCTAAAGATATTAAAACAATGTTTACATAATATCTTAAACAACAGAGCTGAAGTTACAAATTCAAATACTAAAATTTAGATAGCAATTAAAATGCATTAATAAATATCCATTATTTTCCTAACCATCGTAATAAAATCTAAATATTACACTCCTGACTATCATTAAAAAGCACAATTAGAAATAAATAAGACATAAATAAGCTTAAAAATAAATAAAAATTCTATCAGATACTGTCTTTAATCCTTACAATCGAGCATTAAAGTCAGTTTCATAATAAACCTACTTATTATGTAAAACCCATGTAATTTTCCCACAGCATACAGCAATACAAAAATTCATATCATAATACAAACTTCATACGAATTATTTTGATAATATCTTAAACAATTAACTATGCAAAACAAAGCGAAATTATAGATGAGTGAATAAAAATGACGTGATTAATATTTTACTTAGCATTTTTCAACACGTTAAAGAAAGAAAAAAAACTATTTGAAATAATGAACATGAAACTCAAATAATATTAACTTACAGTTCAAGAAGTGTGATATATATAAAAGCAACGTTTATTCCAGAATGATCAAGAAGCCATGTGCACAGCTATGTCGGCCAAAAATTCAGCCGGGATAAAGACTATTTTTATATTTATCCATTTATAGTAACACTCCTGTCACCATGACACCAAAAGTTTCTGCCGATGTTTTTGTTTTGGATCGTATAACAGTACAGTTACAGCTAAACGAAAGGATGCATATTTCAGAATGGCTCCGCTCTGTAGAACCGTTTTCACTACTTACAGCAAATTCCCGCGTAAGGAATCGGAGATGCGACCCTGAGAGGTGAAATATGTATTTTTTATTATTTCTTATGACGGAGGAGTAACAGTCAAATTTCAATAGTCAACGTTAAAGTGATGTACGTACAGAGGGCAAAAAAAAATATGACCCTGAATAATCTTCTAATTATAGGACTTTCATGTACTGAGTGTCAATCCCAATTGTCCTACTCGGCGTAACCGCAAATATGCAAATTAGTTAGTGCTAACTAGTAATTAAATTGCGAAATAGGCCACAAGAACGTATTTTCAATAAATAAATATATACCTTTTTTTTTTTTACATATTTGATATTTGAATTCTTCACCTTCAAAAAATAGGGGGTAGCAGCAATCTGGGAAATATGTTCCACATAGTTTGGTCAGGAGAGCGATGCAAATCTCTAACTCTTTAATGTTAATTTCACTTTTTGTGCTTTTAGTCATATTTTTAAAATCTTATTCTTTATGTATATTTTTAATATGTATCACGTATATTATTTTTCCATTAATATACTAATCAATATTTTTAGTACTTTAATTTATAAAGTAAAATTCCTTTTAAAATTATTGTCAAGTTTTTATTGAAAGAAAACTTAGATTTATTGCCAGCTAGCTGAGAATTAAATCTTGTTAAGAAATTAAAAATATTCTGCAGATCAAAGTTATTCGCTTCAGAATAGCTGACTATTTAATAAGCATACTATTCTTTCCGAAAAATGAAGATAAACTGTCTTCCTTTGTTGTTTCTTATTTATTTGAGTAATGAAAAGTAAATGCGTAATTATGCACAGAAAAAAATACGACAGTTTGCTTTGTTTTTTAAATGAACAAAAAATTATGGACATAAAATTTTATGTTGACGTTCAAAGTAATTCTAGCCGGCGGCTAACTTTAAGAAAGTTGCCCTTTTGAAAAGGATAATGTTGAAAAAATTTGCTTAAAATGTTGTGAATATTATTTCTAAACTTTAGAACAATTCAGAAAAATATTGCTTTATCAGGAAAATGCTCGATATGCCTTATTTTCTTAAACAGCTACTAAAATAGAAAATGTCAAAAAAATTTCAAAGTCGTGCTATTTTTAGAATCATCATCTCAAAAATTCTTCTTTTTCTAACATTAGGCTTTTTTCTACTTTATTAACCTATAATTATAGTCTTAACACAAGTTTTGAAGAAATTATGAATACAAATTTCTTTTAATATTTCGTAATAAGGAAACAAGAATATTAATAATTCATTGATATTCGTTTCATTGAACCGGAGTAGTTTATTTTTCCAAAAATAATCTACCTTGCAACTTTTTAACTATGATTCTTTGGACTAGGAGTCATTTCATGCATGTCATTCGACTTTGAAATTTCAAATATAAAATGCAAAAATTACAAGAATGTGTAAGCTGGCATTAACTAATAATAATAAAAAGGGACAAAATCGTCGGCGAAAGAAGTTATCTCAGGAGAAGAATGTCAGAGTTAAAAAAGTATTGGTGAAATTGTAACAATTGTTACTCTTGTTTAATTAGGAGTATTACAAACCTAAATTTGGTTACTTTTAATTTTTTTAAATTATATTTTTTAATTAACTACCGAAATGAGTATTTAAATAATATCCATTCTTTTTATATAATCAAGTATATCTTTATATAAGTCAAGTTTACTTATTATCATGCGCAAATCTTATGAATTGCAAATTCTTGAGCCCCTGTGTAGGAGAGTAGGATATTTCATGCATGATTGCTTGTTTCAAGAGTGGACTCTTATATTAGTAGGTAGCTAACTTCTTTAAATATTTTAATTTGAAAAACTTCTTGTTATTTTACAAATGTTACAAAGCATGTGTATTTTTTTGAAATAGTTTATCATATAATTCTCACTTTGGCCATCAGTTTTCCCTTGATGAAGCAAAAACCTTGACCCTAATAAGCAGCCGAAAACTAAATCATTATGAATTATTATCTTTTAACTTTTTTAAAAAATTCTCTAAACTTGCTATTTAAACACTATCATCCGCTGCAATATGTTTTTGTTTGAGCCAAAATATTGACATTTTTTATTTTTTACAATTCACATACATCAACGTAGTTGAAGAAATTAGCATTTTTAAAGATTTAAAATCATTTTTTTATAGAGCGCATCTCTAACAATACTTTGGTGAATAATAAAAAAATAATTTAGCACAATTTATGAGTTAGTTTATCCTCTACATACCCCCACGCAATTTAAAATTCGATGCTAAAATTGATGAGTTTTTGCGAAAAGAAACTGTTACAAAGCAACTAAAATAAAGGAACTGATAGGAAAAGATACATAAAAGTTTGATACACTACATTAAATAAATTATTTATATTTATTTAGCTAATCCATTTCAGGGCTAAAGAGAAAATAGAAGGGCTAGTTCATTCCTCTCTTAGAGCTGAAGCTATGATTTCCCTCCTTATGACGTCACGCCGCACACAGATCTCTGAGATCGCAAGCATAGATATTATGAAAACTTTGCGTCATTTTCTCTGTAAAAATAAATTCGACTTTTTCTTGATATTAGCTTTCAAACTTTACACAATCAACACATTATTTCCGTTCAAAAACATATTTAAAAGAATTTTCTTGGCCATAAAATTAAAATAAATACCATTTTAAACTAATAAAAATCTTTTACTTGTTGTCGTAAATGACGCTATAAATACTTTATTTAAAAATTTTCAGCTTTAATTTTTATTATTCAAAGAAATTAAAGCATATATCGACACTTTTTTAGCTACATATTGTTCGATAATAATAGTTTGCAAAGTTGGGTTAAATTTAGAATCTTGATTTTAAAATATGCTGTTAATGGTAATTTGTTTATACTTCATCATTAAGAAACAACAACCTTAAACGCTAATTACTAAAACAAAATAATAATTTAGGTTCATAATAATATTAGAAATTTTACAATTGCTTATAGATATTTAAACTTAAGAGAATATAAATTTTTTAAAAAAAAATCATAAATATTTAGAATAACTACATTAAAAACTATGTTAGGAATTTAGGAGAATTTTAACTATAAATTATTTACACTTTTTATTTAAGTTCTTATCGTTTTTGACTTTTTCCATTTTTTAATTTCTTCGCCTGCCTTTCTTTTTTTTTGATGTAACGCGGCGGTTTTTATTTAGATGACGAATTCTTATAAAAGTTCTTTGACGACAAAATAAGCGTATTGCTGTTTTATTCACTGCAGGATATCATCCCTATAATTCATTTATAAGTTCTTTGATGACACTTTTCCTGACGCATTCCCATCCATGCTGCTGACGGAATAATTAATCATACCTTAGAAAAATTTATCCATTCCGTATTGCTCTCCTGTTGTTGGATGTACTGAGAAGATGTTATTTCTAATTTTGGATCAATATTAAGGCGAAATGCTACGTAACCAGCAATATAATTCAGTCTTTTTTCTTAAGAGTTGATCATTTTGTTTCCCAAATTAAGGTCAGCTGCAGTATCCCAAGACATAGGAATGGAGTTAGTTTTTTGTTGTGTATTTTTTAAACGCTTTTTCTAACAATTCCGCAGTTAAATAACAACCTATGTTTGAATTTTTTATTTCTATGCATGATTTTCACGAAAGATTAGGCAGTTTATTTGCAATTAACAAGCGTCTAGGTTAGAGATAGTTAGACCGAACGCTCCGTTCTTGAAGTACAAGTTCAAGCTTTGCGAAAGTTTCAATGCATTTAGCTAATTTATGTTTTACAATATTTGTAATGTCCAAAATACTTAAAAGGCATCCACTTAAATACTACAAGAAGAAATTCAAACATTCTGATTCCATTTATAGTTTTCTATTATTTTAAGCCACAGATTATTTAATTAATGAGTGTCACTGATTTATTGATCGAGAAGTTAAATTGTTAATTCAACTCAGTAAAACTTAAAAAAGTTATCTACCACATACGCATTTAGTTTCAGATGATTTATTTTAATTCAGCATTATATAACGCGATGGGAAGAATAGTTTTTAACAACAGCATTAATTTTTAAATATTATTGCTAAGATATTTTTTCACCTATAATTTCTGTGGTCTTCAAAAAATGATCATAGCTTCAAAATCATAATTTCAGATTATAAAAAAAAAAACGAAATAAAGGATTTGTTTATATAAATGCTGGAAATAGTTGAGGGGCCGGGATAGCCTGATTGGTAGGGCAGTGGGCCCATGTCCAAGTGGTGGTGGGTTCTCTGATTCAGGTCAAAATTACGATTCGTGGATAAATGAATGGATGTATGAATTGGTCCACCCTATAAACGGGTGTGACGTATGGGTGTGGCAGAAGTCGAATTCTTGGCCATAGATGACGCCACTGGAAAACAAGAACAATCACACCCCCTCTGCCTTAATGGCATACGTCAACAACAACAAATAGTTAAGGGAAGTCAAAGCTGGGGAAATATTTTGTCTTTTGCATTAAGTGTTCCTTCAATTCATCTCTTTCCAAAGAGTTTATTTCTAGTTACAAACAAAATTTATAAATTCGTTTATTTATAAGCACCGAATGATCAATTCCTTACTATAGGTATAAGTATATATATATATATAGTATAAGTATAGGTATAAGTATAAGTATAGGTATAAGTATAAGTATAGGTATAAGTAAACTATAGGTATAAGTATATATATATATTAAGGGGCCAACAGAAAAAAACGCTTAAGTGAAAGAGACGCATAAGTAAAAAACTTCAAAATTCTAACGCAACTTAATTGCAGTAACATAATGAATAAATATGTTTCTGAAGATTGGATGTTAATATTTGTACTGTTTTTGGTATTTACTATAATTATACAAAGAAAAAACTTAACATACCTAGCGACAATATATTTTCTTACAAAATAATCCTTAATACACGTTTGTATTTGTTTTCGCCG